AATTCCGTGACATATCCATTCATTTATCCTTTTTGGGCTCAAACTGAATTTTGCTCCTACGTAGACCTTTGCCCTGCTTCCTTAATACTTCCCCTAAATATAACCACAGCTCTCCTAGGTTCACCACTCCTATCTGCAATTGTTCCCGACTCTCGAGAGCGTCTTATGGTTGAATGCAATACTTGCCTTGTTTCGTTAGTTCGTCTTAGATGCACCGTGCCAAAAGTGTTTGTAAATGCAAAGCTACGTTTAATTCACGGACTAGTTACGCTTATATTGTATTCAAAATCTACCAAAAGTTTAGTATCATTAGAGAGGTAATAACGTAAGCTACTTTGTGAAATGGAAGAAATTCAATGATTTGTTATGAACATAGAAAAAATTTGCAATGAACTTCAGCGCGCGCTGTAATCATAATTTTGGCCCACCCTGTAGATTACCACCCAAGCAGAAGACTGCCTGGTTTCCATTTTCAGCCTCAGGCCCTTTAAAGGCTGTGCAATAGGCCACTGCAATGGCAGCACCGGGAATCGTGAAAGCAGAATGCCAAATGGTTGGCTCCTCCCCTTTTTCGCCCAGCCCATGCAAGAATCGGCCAGGGCTGCAGAGATAATATTACATTAAAGAAATAAGGATGAAAATGGAAACAAAAAAGGAAATATGGCTACTCCACCAGGAAATGTCCAGAATTGGCGATCATTGTCACACAAAAGCAGTGTTCTTCTAAAGAAGCACTATTCTGAAGTTGCTAGATTTTACGTCATACCCTAAAGTTCGAAAGGAAATTCCGTCCAAGTTTGACATGCTTACGATAAAGTCAGTGAATATTTTTGGACTACAGTCAGTGCTCTACAGAAATCTAATTGCCGAGTCGACTAAAAGTTAGCGCCTCCTCTGTTACGTGGTTATCAAACCAGTACCCGCCCGTCACATCCTGATCGATTGATCATCTATTTCGTGGTCAAATAAGACATCTGCGATGTATACTGTTCGATTCCTCAGAAGGAATGCTACCCAATGATACATAAGTCACCCTTCGACAAGAACTTTGTTTTCGTTCCTTTTTTTTCTCAGCAGCGTACGTTTCACGTATCCGAGTCGATTACGGAGCAAATCACCGCACTGTGGCCCTCGGCACCGGCAATCGATGAAGCACGGTTATCCAATCGATGTGGCACATTACCGGGCGACTGGCTCCTCTCCTTTCTTATCCTGTGCTGAGCGCCAATCGCGCAAATCACTCCAGTCTCATAAGAGCTACCCCATAGAGCTTCAAAACTGTATCTGTGGAGTTTGGAGCTGTTCGTCTTATATTCAACTTTCTATAATTTGCCTTTGAATGGATTTATAACACGAAGAACGATGAAACGCGAGAACATGTCTTTCTGACATTTTGGTTACAACTCAGATTACAAAGTGTTTTTTTCGAAATGATTACATAATTAAATTCAGCTCTTCAGACGCAGTAGAATGGTATTCAAAATTTTGTAGAAACACTATTGTAAAATAACACGATATTACTGCATACTGTCAAGTTTAAAGGGATATTTCGTCAAAGTTTGGCTTGCTGACGACAAAGTCAATGAATTATTTTGGGCT